TTTCAGAGTCATGACTACAGTATACAGTACTGTACGCTGTTACGTACTACTGTACTGTACATACTGTACTGTATAGTCTTATACCGTACTGTACAGTGTACACTGTTAACACTGTACACTGTGTACGTTGGTACGTTCAATGAACGTCCGACGTTCAAATTGGACGTTCGTACGTTCGTTCATTAAAACTGGCTAACGTCCACAGTACTACTGTATAGTGCTGTAGACGTCGAGCGATTGGACGTCCAACGGACGTTCGATTTTGGACGTTCGGTATGTACGTTCGTTGTCAGATCGGACGTCGACGAACTGTACAGTGTACAGTACTGTACGGTGTATACAGTCAGTTTGTATAATCCCACCCCAATACTGTACAGTACATACAGTACAGTAGTACAAACGTCTTTTACAAACACTTTCAGTACAGTGTACACTATGTATATACTGTAGTGTTAACACTGTACACTGTGTACGTTGGTACTGTACTGTACGCTCATTGAACGTCCGACGTTCAAATTGGACGTTCGTACAGTACGTTCGTTCATTAAAACTGGCTAACGTCCACAGTACTAGTCATGACTACAGTATACTGTACGCTGTTACGTACAGTACAGTGTACTGTATAGTATAGTCTTATACCGTACTGTACAGTACAGTGTACACTATGTATATACTGTAGTGTTAACACTGTACACTGTGTACGTTGGTACGTTCAATGAACGTCCGACGTTCAAATTGGACGTTCGTACTGTACGTTCGTTCATTAAAACTGGCTAACGTCCACAGTACTAATCATCAGCCTAGTCAACTACTACCAGAAGCAAGTGTTTGGCACAGTACTGTACTGTACTGTACAGTACTTTAACCAAATGAAGCAGAGAATGTCTGTCTGTCCAAGAGTGAGTCATCAATAAGCAGGGAATGTCTGTCTGTCCAAGAGTGAGCCATCCATCCAAGTCTTCTAGTCCATAGCATGGAGGCCATGGAGCGGGCATAGACTGACTGGCTGGTTTAAAAAATAGAAAAAAAGGTATGGTATTTTGTCTAGTAGTCCATGATGATGAGTGCCTATCTTCAAGCAAGCTTTCAGCACTGTCGTGTTCTATTTCTACTGATTAGAGCCATGGATTACAACTGGCTTGGCTGGAAAATAGCACCATAGTATGTTTTGAATGCGAGTTTGTGTCCCATTGTTATGGATGAGAGTAGAACAGCAGCAAGACAATGATTGAAATCTACAACGGACGGACAGCTTCCCTTGATTGGCTGAAATGGAAAGCATGCAATAATCAACAATAGGATTGTATGCGGGACTGAGCGCTATACACGTACTGTACTAGTACAGTCCGTCCAGTCACGGTGACATTGTCAGGTTCGACAGTACTGTATACTGTAGCCTTATAACGTACAGTACAATACTATACTGTACAGTAGCAACGGAGTACAGTGTAAGGTACTGTAGCTCAACCTCCACGGTGAATATCGATGAAAAATGAACCGAACCGAACCGTACCGGTACGTAACACCAAGCTGTCAGCAATTATGTTGACGTCACTGTACAGTACAGTGTACAGTACAGTACTATACTTTGAACTGAAAGAAATAGCACTACTGTCCCAAGACAGAGCGTTGCACCCTTATACAATACTATACTCAAGAAGACGAAGAAAGATAACCCAATCGCCACTCCTGGTACTGTACAGTGTACACTGTAGCGGCCAACTACAGTGTAAAGTACTGTAATCGCCCCTGGACTGGAAACCCGAGCCCACGGACTAGACTGTGTAGGTCAACCTCCATCGTCAACATCAACCTATACGGTACTATATTGAATAAACACCTATCTGATACACTAGACAGTGTCGACGACACATGCACAAACAGTATAGACTTGTCGCTCGCTTCCTTCTCTTTCATACTAAACGTCGACTGGGGGCCATTTTCCGATTTGCAAACATGTCCAACTCGGATGATATTTTATTGCTTCATGCAGAAGAAGAACATGATCTCCATGATTTGCCTCCATACGTAGGTAAGATTGATTGCTATGTCTACTTTCAGCCAGACAGATGATGATCGTATGGGATTGAAAATCGCCTTGCAATACCCTGCTTGCCATTGTTGTCCAACCACTCTTTTTCTCTTTTCAACTACTTCATCATCTTGCTCTTTTCATCCTTTTGCTGATGAAATAATCTTGATCGTATCCTTTTAAATTGTACTTACACACACACACACACTTGCAATCACTTTCAACTGACAGTCAGAGTTATCTTGGATCATTGTAAGACACAGTCATCTATTTTCATTCCAGTATCGATCGCTTGTAGTGGTTGTTTACAGAGACCATGATAGCCTTTGACCTACAATAAGTTACATCGTCTTGCCCTTTCATCGTCTTACTCATAAAATACAGTTGGATCCACTTCGATCATGGACTGAACTAGTACTCTCCAAGTACAGTAGAGTAACAAGATAGCACAAGTGATGATGGATCGATCGATCCATCAGCAGACAACGCATCTTTCTATTTTCATGCAAGTTTTCCATCACTTCCAGTGCTGCCTTTTCTTGTTAGCCTACGCTACTCTTGTCCAATAGGGTCTATCACAACGGAGTCTCTTTTACAGCGATCCAAACCAATCATCAACTACTCGCTCTTTTCATCATCTTTCATCGTTATCCTACTTTGATGATGACAGGTTGGGTAGCGGTAAATCGATCGACGATGAAAATTATTTTCTCTTATTGGATGTGTAGAAAAATATGGTATTGCTTGCATGACGACAGTCATGGTACGCATTCACCACATTCAATCATACCATACACACTGCCAGTCGTGCATTTTTTACCGTAGATACGGGCAACCTTGTTTACTTTCAATCTCTCCCATTTTTGGTCCCCTTCCCTTCCGCCATCTTGTTGCTATAGGGTAGAGAACTGTCGATGAAAGAGTTTACTATCCAGTCGACAACGCCCTGGCTGCCAATAAGTGCCGCCATCATACCAACACGACAAAACCAAAGTCGAAAACATTCTCTCTTCCCCATTCACGAAATACAAAATCAATCGAGTCGAGTATGACTAACATTCAGTTAGGACGGGGATGATTTCTCCATCATTAGCAATCATAGTATTCATATTGTCATAACTAGGATTCTCCGTATTCTCCATTCCCTATTAAAAAAATACAAAATCAATTCAGGCTAGTATAACGAATATTCAGTTCGGACTGTTAATGTTCTCATGTCAGGGAGAATCGAGTATCCAAGACTGCCATAGCCTGACTCCAAGGTAAATGATATGATGTTATTTTACTGCACCCTTTTCCCATTTACAAAATACAAAATCAATTCAGGCTAGCATGACTAACATTCAGTTCGGACTGTTAATGTTCTCCATGTCATGGAGAATCGAGTATCCAAGACTGCCATAGCCTGACTCCAAGCTAACGCCATGATGTTTATTTTACTGCACTCTCTTCAATCCAATCTTGGCAGTTGGATTAGGCCATTTCTTCTTGACGCTTGACAATCTGTCAGTATGCGTTGCCGTCATGGGGTACAATCATGACAAAACGAAAGTCTCAAAATATTCTCTCTTCCCCCAGTAATTAAAGAAAATACAAAATCAATTTAGGCTAGTGTCACTAACATTCAGTTAGGACTGGTAGTATTCTCCATATCAAGGAGAATCGAGTATTCAAGACTGCAATAGCCTGACTGGAAGGGAACGCCATGATGTTATTCCACTGCACTCTCTTCAATCCTATCATGGCAATTGGATTAGACCATTTCTTCTTGACGCTTGACAATCTGCATCAAGGGCAGAATGGCCACCATAATGGCTATGCTATAGGCCAATGATGATCGGAAGGAAACTTTTTGAAACGCTAAAATACGCACATGAAAATGGACAACATAAGTTTTAGGTAGAATGCCATCGGTTGCCTAGCGATTATTTTCATCTTTCTTACGTTCAACCGTTTACGATGATAGAATGGAGCAATGTCGGAAAATGAGTCTCATCTTATTACTCTAGTAGGATGAAAAAGGATGACAGGACTGGAGGAAGAAAGAAAAAAAAGGAATAGAATAGCCTTTTCTTATTTTACAGCATCTCTTTGACTCTATCTTGGCCAATACTGGCATTACAGATCGATTTACTGTACCTTTTCATCCTTGGTAAGAAGTACCTACATTTTATCCTACTCTAGTAATGGAATACTGTACTTCCCCCTCCCCTTTCGACGTGCATTTTCTTGTCGGTTTTTTCAATCGTCATAAAATATTCCCCCCATATATCAGCCATGATACGGGCGTATGGAGTAGAATTCTTAACGAATCTTTGCACATACAAGGCAATTCCACTCTAAATCCATAACCAACTACTGTAATGTCATCCTAGATAGTCGGAAAAAAGGCACTGATTCAGCATATGCAATAGACGACCATTTCTAATTTTCTTACTAGTCTATTATGTCGCGCGCACAATTATTAGACAGATAAAGTATGGATTTGATTTTCCTTCTTGAAAAAAAATGGAAATAGCAGTCCATTGAGTTAGACTAGCTGCTTGCAGTGTTGGCTACAATTATTCGTTTAAAAGTAGTATACATGCTAGTTTAGGATGGCCACAATCTCCGGTTAAAATAAGAATAGAATTGCCAGTAATGACTCTACGAAGTAGATGGTAGATAGCATACTGTCCTTGGTCCGTCTATAACTCTGCAAAACTGAATGCAAAATTTCAACAGCCACAAATTGAATGGTTACTGTGATATCGGTTAGACCTAACTCTTTTCCTAGGCTTTCTTGCTACTCTACTTCAGTCATGAATGAAGCCAATTCTCCAAAAGGATACAAATGCCTTTTCCCCTAATACTGTATGGCTACTCCTGCTAAAATAACTTTCAGGGTAGTCATTCTACCGGGCCTATAGCCGGTAACCATTTCAAGTTGTACTTTGCAGCTTTACCATATACGTGTTCATAGACTTTTTCCCTTATACTAGCTAAAATACAATTTGAATTCGTTGCACCTGAATATAACCGAGAACAATTTCAAGTTGTACTTTGTATCTTCATCATGTACATTTACGGTATGAATTAATGTACGCATTCTATACGAGTACGCGTGGAGATGCACTATTCGAATAGAGCCAACTCTAGTCAAGTAGAAACACATCTAGTAATCATAGTTATTGCTAATATTCATATACTGTACTAGCAATTAAAAAACATATTATAAACCACACAAAGTAGTACTACGTTAGCGATGAAAAAAAAGGAATCTTTTTTTATTCCATCAATCCAATCGATGAAAGCAATAAAGTAAAATTTGTTAACCGCTAAAAAGAATTGCCTGTACCGTTTTATAACCAAGCAAATCACAAAGTCAATGAAGGGTTTACTCGTTGCATTATTTCTAATGCATTCATGATCAGTTTTATCGTCAATAACACCGCTGATCGTAATATTTCTTGCTCCATGGATGTCACATGCTTCAATAAATATCATGGTTATGACTTGTTCCAACATCAACAAACTCAATGAAATGGTTGTTGAGCATCTATCGTCAAATACATAGATCGAGCAACAGATTGGAACTCCTCTATCCACTAGAAAGTATTTTCAATCCACATCAAGCAGAGCAGATAAATGCGCTATCGCATTACTCAACATCAATTGAAATGGGAGCGCTAAAGGAAAACTCGTATATCGTTCAATGAGGATGAAATGAATTGTTCATTCTTTGCTTTATACAGCATGGTAACTATCGACTTGATAAGTAGCTAAACTCTTTATACACAGACTAAAAAGGCATCAACAAAATGGTTGCTACCTAGCTAACGATTCCTAGATTGGCGATAGCCCGATATCGTCATCACTGTAATATTGATATACTCGTATAAGTAAGATCAAAATAATTCGATCAATGTTCAACGTCAAAGGTCATGAAATGCACATTTGAAATAGTATTCATTGATTTTATTGATGTCTAAGATAATGAGATATTCCATCATGACAGTAACATGTTTTTTAGACTTTTTACTATTAATCCAAATAACCCCTACTCAGCCATTCAACAATATCGAAGGAAATTGATGGATAGCCTGTTATAATGGTGTATTGAAGTCCAATTCGACTAGTGAATTCGCTTATTTACTGTAAAGATTATAATCATAATACTCTTGAAATGAATAGAATTCATTGCATTTGACTGTTAAAAAGACTGCAAGCCCATTTCCTATCAACGTATTTTGAAGATGGTGCAATATTGGATAGCAATATGCCTTTGAATCAATGTCTAGCAGTGATGATCAATTTCAATGATTGCTTGTAATTGCCCAATGCCATAAGGGAGTACTATTGAATGAATTCGGAGTTTACGAATGAAAAAAAAAAACGCTAATATCGATATCACCGTTTAGATATCAACATCCAAGAATGTTAATCACCCTATCATTACAGTAATATTCAACAGACGATGGAGCAGAGTCTTTTTCCCTACATAGGCACTGTACAGTAGTAGTTTTATCACCTTAGCAATCGGAAAAAAACAGTTTTACAAACTAAATTCAATAAGAGGATTGGATATACGCGTATACATAGTCATATAAATGACTAAAAGACTATAGTAAAAAGAAATGTATTGAACTCTACGTAATTAATAATTGAATTGCAAGTTTTTATGCTATATTGAATTGACTATTCAAATATTAGCGGTATCTCTTCTATTCCTAATTTCCTATGGGCAAATATCAAAAATTTTTTATACTTTTATCCAATTACAGTCCGCATTAGGTCAATAATTAATGACTGCTACTGACAACGATGTTATAAAAATAGTGCAAATCTCTATGGAACATCACAAGGTTTCACGTTGCCAACATTTTATTATGATTATTATTCTTAGAACAAGGAGCTCCTACCAGTAGTATAGTAAATTTAATGTTTGAAAGAGATTGGTCATTAATCATTAAAAAGGCAATCAAAAATCCTCCTCCTTATTGACTTGTTGCGGATATTTTTTAAATTAAATGGAGTATCCATGTCAACTGTTAATTCTACATGTATATTTGTACCGTCTTAAGGGATAGATTATATCAATGGATTGCTTTGTCATGTTTTACGATTGATCACAGTACAATCGTTCATTCTACCCATTGGCAATATCGAGTACTCAAGTATACCCGTTGATTCCTCATTTCCAACTATCGAATTGCTAGCTAAGTTAATAAATGGCGTTATTATCATTCTCTGTTTAAAATACTTGTATCTTTTAGTAAAATAATAATAGCAGATTGGCATGAGATCATCCTCGTAAGCTTGCTTGCACATCAATTTATTCGTAACTTCAATAATGCCAACTTGGATAGTTGCCTATTTAAAAAAAAATTGCTCATCTGCTGTATAATAATGTTTAAAAAAAGTTATCTCAAGATATTTTTGTCATGGTAGAAGCCATAACCATCATGACTAACCACATTAAAATGATGCTATAACAATATGAAACCATGAATAATAACAAGATAGTAATACTTCTTTCTATTATTGATATGGAATGCGCAAATGATGCCTTCGCCGCGTTACCAAAAATTAAATTGCAATATATATTGACTCTCTGCATTCATTTCACTATTTAATAGGCCCATCGGAACAATCAGACAACCAACTCCCTCCACTTCCTCCACTGTCGGGTCAAGATGATTCATTGCTACCGCCACCCTTGTCTGGAGGAATTCATTCATCTTCTACGCCTATCGAACCACCACCTTCTTACAGTCATTCTACGAAAGAAGGGGAAAGAACTGTTTTAGCATGCAAAGTCTGTCAACACTTAATTGATATTTCTACTCGTCGTGATCAACACGCCGTAAAATGTGAAAAATGCAATGAATTATCGGTAAGTTAGAATTGATGAGTATGTAGTAAATTATAGTGACAATCAGAAACATGTTATTTAATTTTCAGTACATGGCAATCAAACTGACCATTGTAAGCCATAGTAGACATTTTTTAGGTTGACCAAATTGCTATAGTAATGGTCATTTGCGATTAATAGTAGCTCAGTGCTACACTAAAATAATTGACGACTACTCGTCATCTCTTTATTTTCATTATCTTTGATATACTCTACTATCAGATGATTAAAATTGATTGCTTTGCTTGATTGATTCATTAAATAATTCTAGCCTGTCAAAGATCCTCCCGAGGGTAAAAAATATATTCGCTGTGTCTGTAATTGTCTTCTTATCTGTAATAAAGATGCTGCCCGTGTCAGATGTCCTAGATCAAATTGGTATGCTGCAACAAAATAGATTGATTAGTTTACGATAGCTGATATTGATTGTTTTATGTGTCTACTTGTATTAGCAATTATGTTACCACGGTCAACGCAGCAAGTGCACCGATTTTCACCCTTTCGCGTGGTATTCCCATAGTCCTATCTGGGATACGATACAGCTGTGGTCATTGTCAACATGAATTCTTTGTACGTTTATGCTTCTATTTCGATAAAAGTATCCAAAATAGCGATGAGAAATATCTTGCAAATAATTTGAAATAATTAATGAAACAAATTCTACTTCAAGATTTTTTTATTGACGTATTTTATTTGGTTTCATCTTGTAGTTTAACAGAACCAATGTTTCCGTACGGTGCTCTCACTGTCAGCGAATGTGAGTAGTAAAGATCTTAATCAAGACCAGTCTTGAAAATAATCTAGTAGATTAAAGTTTCATTGTTCTTATTAGCTCATCGCCTGGACCACAATATGCTAAGAGAAGAGCAAGCGTCTATATATCTGTTGGAGTACTTTTCATCGTTATTGGCATTATTTTAATTGTGAGTTTTATCAAAAATTATCCAATTACTAAATACTTACTACGCCTAGCTTCCTCTTTATTCCTTTTAAAAATTGTACAACTAATAATTTTATATTCTTCGAGTAATTGATGTGATTTATATATGTAAACTAGGTCAGTACGTATTTCGCTGCAAGTCAATATGGCGGTTATTACACTATTTATATCGGTCAGTCGAATCAAATGATTGCACATCTAAATTCAATATAATAATAAATAGCAAGCGATTGAATTGTGCTTAACATAACTATTCAACTTATATGTATGATTGATAGGTGCATTCATTGTTGGCTTATTAAATATATTGCGTGGTATGTTCTTTGCCTGTATGAAAGTAAGTTATCCTATTACTCAGCGTAATAGAGATGGAGGCCAAGACGACAATGACGGCGGGAATACCAGCATGGCTTAGATACAGTTAATTTAACAAGACTTACTATCAAGCTTTAATCTTCGCTAATTGCGCTTATGGAATCTTAATTACATCTATCTGTTTTGGCAACGTTCATTTTACAAGTAGTTATTATCGGTATCTACTATCTATTCGTTAATAACTGCCATTAACGATTTAGTACCATATTATTATAGAATCTGTGATTCAGTGATATAGGTGTGGGTAGTAACTAAAAATTTGAATCATTATTTAATAGTAATTTGAACTGGTAACTTTGATTTACTGCTGCCGCCTCTTGTCCAACCTTTTAAAATCATGATGCTAAAAAGTATGAAATATAGCGTAAAAATGCATTATGGTAATAGTGACTTGGATTAATACCCGTAATAATGCGGCCATAAGGATAAATTACTTGAGTCAGTATTATAATGTTAAATATCGATAATCTTTTTAGTGATTGTTTTAAACTATTTCTGGTACTATCATAAATCTAACTTACCGCAGGTTTTAAAGTACCCACTTTGCTAGATTTAGCTGTAAGTAGGAAGTATTATGTAGGAATTCATTAATTTAGTTAACTAACTTGCTTTCAAGTTTTTGTAGCCTTACCAAGTTTGCGCTACGAGAATTAATTCTATGTCATATTGTAATTTACGTAATATCCTTAACTTCTTCAGATTAGAATTATTGACAATAAATGAATGTTATGAATAGGTTTTGTCTTTAAACTTAGGAACAGCACCATTTCAGAAGCGTCAAGTTAAATGCTATAATTGATTGTGCAGTCAATTCTACACAGTATATACTTTATGCTAAGCGCTTCCCCCTTGTTATGCAGGTTCTTGGGCAGAAATGTAGTTCACTGCAAACTGACATGATCAATCATATTCTATACTGTGTCTTCGTCTTTATGATAGAAGAATAATCAACAATATCATATTTAGAGGGGAAAATTGATAAAAACACACGTAACACCAAAAGAATGCAATAGTCGTATTACATGATTGAATACCTTAAGACCAGTTTAGTGATGAAAATGTTATCGGTTTATTTTGTAATCGTAGACAACTACAGGCTATGCAAAGCATTAGAAGCATAAAATTTATACTAAACGTTTTCAGGATAAGAGCGCATCAATTGATAAATTAAATTTGATCAAGTGAAGTGCTGTATTATCATAAGTAGAATATTAGGTATTAAACATTAAGCAATTGTAACCGTTTTACATGATAATCCTGTAGTACTTATAACATCAAATAAAAATAAAATGTTCACATATTTTAAATCTACCATTGCAGTACAAGAATATATCAGTGTTAGTGTAGTTAACCATGAATTAATTTTGCTATACTAAGAGCGAGGAGCTTACGCTATGAAATTATTAAGCTGCAGTAGTACATTAAAACATCGAACTGCTAAGGTATCACCTACAACCAAAATCGGTTATACTAAAGATGATATAATATTTCGTTGAATGCCACGTTGATTCACCAAACTTTCAACTGATAATCAATTGCTATTACTATTGTTGATACAAAAGTACGAGGCTATAACCTACTATCAGGCTTAAAAGGAAACTGACTTATAAAAGCGGCCTCCAAGGCATCTTCAATTCGCTTTACCGGAATAAATTTAACGTCTTTCTGTTGTTTCAAAGACAGTCAGGTTACTATGTAGTTCATTTTATTTAAACGATCAAATAAATAGCAAACCTTAACGTTTTCTGGAACATCTTCTAAATCCTAAAGCAAAACACGTAGAATATCTAAGATTATAATTGCTGATAGCTACATGTCAAAAATTGTATATTTTTTTACAAAAAGGAGTTGCACATCATATCTTCAACTCTAAAACAAAATATTGTAAAACGTACTAAAGCCTTAGAAAGATCGCTTAATGTACACTGTACAGAGTACAGACACGTGCATGTAGTCATAGTATCAAACCAATACTAACAAAAATTGAAAGTAATTTCTAGTTTAATCACTTACTTTCAAATTCCGTTGCGGAATGATTACCCTTTTGATGCCTGCGCGATGGGCTGCTAGTGATTTCTCTTTAATACCCCCAACCTAATTTAAAAGCAATACATAGTGAATTAGGAAAGTACCAAATACTTGAAATTTATGCTCAAAAATATAATAAATTACTACAACAACTCGTATGATTAATAAAAACATGTAACTATTAGCATACAGGTAGTACTTGTCCACGCAAAGTTATCTCTCCTGTCATTGCCGTATCTGAGCGAACGCATTTAGCACTATTGCGTACATTACAAGAATATAAATAAACAAAAGTAAATCATTAGATCATAAGTCAAAAACGAGTTACAGTATCCTTATAGGTTAAAGTAATTGTCTAACCATGGCTTCAATAAGTATAAATTATTGCATATTTAATTGTACCTAAACAGTGATACGAGCACCGTGGTTATGGTTATACCAGCTGATGGTCCATCTTTCTCAACAGCTCCTGCAGGAAAATGGATGTGAATATCGAGCTTGTTCATTGATTCACTATCATTCTTTGATAAACCACACTACCCAGAAATGAAGATAACATTAGTAATAGCAAATTAAGGTGTATAAAAAAGTACCATCGAGACTACAGTATCTCTGAAAGGAAATAAAATTAGGTAATTTGTTTTACAGCTCTTTGTCGCGATTGATTAGCTATCAAAACTGATTACGCTATCTATATGCGTATGCCACTAACCTGATCTGGATGACTTTTAAGCCAAGTAAGAGCTAGATATGCGGACTCTCTCATTACGTCACCTGATGCAATTATTAATAATATCCAATGAATAAATTATAACCATGTAGTGAAGTAACCTTCACATAGATGTTATTGCTGGGCTCGCATGGTACAATTTCTAACAAAGTGCCATACTAGACCGTGAGATAATCACTATTACTATAATTGAATTCGTAATAAAGGCTTATCCTAAGCTCGAGTTATTGTGTTAATACTTGTGTGTAAGTGAATAGTATTTGGAGACAGACATCCTTTATTACAAACCATGAAGTCAAAGTAGAAAATATTAAATCTTTAATATATCAAGCAATTAATATCAAGTTCTACTAGAAAGAGAGAGAGATGCCTGGCGGCCGTTCAATGCAAAATAATGGGGGGGGGGGCTTATCATTTTTCTGGTCATTCTACTATACGCTGCCATCAAAACTGTATATTTACCTAATTGTCCAGTCAACTTCAATTTACCATCACCGATCATTTTGCTAGCTTCGACAAATAAAATTTCACCGCCCATAGGGGTCCAAGCTAAGCCTATAAATTACTTTTGTTTAGTAATTTTAACATTTGTAAGTGCTACCGATTTGAAAGCAAAGTCAGAACCTACCAACTGCAATTCCAGGTGAGGTAAGGCGCTGCGATGCCTCATGTTCATAAATATGAGGCTAAAAATTGAATGAATAATTAGATTCTCCATACGCAGTTAATGGAAATTAGTGTAAGTCAACAACGTGCAAAGTGATTAAAGTCCAACTTACACCAAGTATTTCTTTCAAAGCACTTTCATCAACGACGATAGAATTCGATATATCACTACTCTGATGGATTGCTGGTTCTTTTATCTTATCTTTATTCCTGTCCTCAGAAGTACCTATTGACCGCTCAGCAATCTTTTGACGCAAGGCATATTTTTAGCCATCAGTTCGGACCTCCGCTCTTTAATAAGATTTCGTTCCTTACCTTAATAGCTGCAGCTCTACAAATTGCTCCTAATTTTCGTTCTAGTGAGCGCACACCAGCTTCACGAGTATAACGGGAAACTGTAATTTGAGTACATGTTAGTATATCGTTATATTTTAAAAGTGACCTCATAACAGAGTTAATTTGTGAAGCGATGCAAACACAACTTGAATGTTAGTTATACCTATAACTTTAATTGTTTCACTTGGAATTTCAAGCTGGTCATTTCTTAAACCATGTTGCTATTACAGAATCATAAAATTATTCATTGCATTTATAAATCGAATAGTAAATATTTATAGATAAGGGTAAGTAATATAGTTATACCGTTAATTGTTTCGCAACCAAGTGGCGGGCACCAATTTCCACTTTTTCTTCTTGAGTATATCCAGGTACTTCTATTACCTATTGTTACAGGCAATAAATTAAAAACCGAATGAATTTTTTGCATAAACGTAGATGTAACTGCATTATACAAAAAATGAAAGCAATAAATTAGTACAGGTCCAGTACTATACCTCCATCCTATCTAACAGAGCTGAAGGTATAGTGTGTAAAGTATTAGCAGTGGCAATAAACATCACCTTTCAGGTTTAGGATTGGAAAAAACATATTAGTCTTTACTACCAACTGATATAATATCAAGAAAATTTAAAGCATGAAATCAATATTTACTTGTGACAGATCGAATGGTACATTGAGGTAGCTAAATGAGAACTTGGATTAAGGATCGTAATATTATATAGTTTTATAATTGTACAATTGTTCACAAAATGATTTAAAATGAAAGGATACTGATCGGTGAATGTATTATTCTGCTCAGGGTCCAGTACTTCCAAAAGAGCAGCTGCAGGATCGCCATGAATTCCCTTACTCTAAAGCAGTGAAGAATCATTCTGAGAAAGTTTATCTATTATTTCAGAAGCTTTCTCTACGAAATTAAGTCTACCAATTTATCAACTTCATCAAGTAGGAATACTGGATTATTAACGCCAATATTTTTCAATCCTTGGATGATGCGGCCTGGCATTGAACCTATATAGGTACGCCTTGCAAGTAAACAGAAATGTAGATTACAGGGTTGCTTACTTAATTACTAACGAATGATACTTCTTTTAGCAATGTTCCAGACCTATGGCCTCTAATTTCGGATTGATCAGAGACGCCTCCAAGAGAAATTCTACAAATTAAAAATTAAAGTACTTATTACAAAGCAAGATTATCACTTTAGGTAAACAGTGTCTTTACATTATACTCACCTTAAAAATTCTCTACCCAAAGTTTTTGCGATCGATCGGCCGACACTGGTTTTGCCTACGCCCGGTGGACCAACGAAGCATAAAATCGGTCCTATTACGAAGAAAATTGGTTAACACGGACATATCTCCAGCTATTTTGTGGCAAAAGAACAGCGTGATATATGTCTATTTTACCTTTTAAATCATTTCTTAACTGTCTGACAGCTAAATACTCCAAAACGCGTTTTTTTAGTTCTTTCATGCCAAAATGATCGTCATCTAAGTCCACCCTAGTTGATAATTAGAACACAAATTCAATAAGCTACCATCAGCTGAATTATGTATTAAAAAAATATACTTCAAGTATCGTTAATAGCCAGTAACTAACTTTGCTTTATTAATGTCTAATTTATCTTCCGTTGATTTCTTCCACGGCAGGTCAACCATCCATTCTAGATAATTTCTATGAGCATTATAGGTTCGTGAATAATATTTTTTAGAGCGGAAAATAAAAGTACCATCATATGCGGAAGAGAATGTCAACAAAAAGATTGATTACGATTATAGGATCACCGATAAATTTACTACCTTGTAACACTATAATCCGGCAGCTGTGGGGGCATTTTCTTTAACCTCTAGATATTTTAAATAATACTATCACAAAAAAGAACCACGTAATAAATTAATAATAAATTAATACCTTTAATTCAGTTTTAGCTGCCTTAAGTGCCGGTGGAGGAAGATTAGCATTACTAAAATTGCAATAAAATTGTCGTCATTGCAGAATAGATCAAATTTGGTACAATAATAAGATAGTCACAGATTACGCATTAATATATTATACTTTATTTTTTGTTGCAATTCCGCTACTTCATCCTCTGGCTCATCAGCGAGATCGTTTAAATCCCTTGTTCGAGTTGGGGTCATTAAAGGCTGCAATAAATAAGGCATTGTTTTCCGATAAAGAATTTACGTGCATAGGATTATAATTACGAAGTGTTATATAAATTTCTTCCGTACAACAGGTTGTGTAAATAATTCATAAGTGCCCGTTGTTATTTCTGATGCCTGATTCCTGTTTCAGTAGACTAGTAATAAATACCTGCACTTTATTCTTGGATATTATAGGTGGAGTGGAACTGCTTGAACCATGCTTTTGTAGTAATTTTAATCCCTAACAACAATTTATACACGTATTAAAATTCAGCAACACTCCTACTAATAGTGTATACATAGAGTCAAACTTTGATATTATACAACCAATATAAATGTAACAAAAAGCTATTAATACTTCAATTTGCTTCAATAAAAGTGGCAAAGTTTTTTTAAATCTATCCCCAACTTCGACTGCATTCAGTATCTATATTAAACATGTAATAAATACATTCATAATAAATTATCATTCGTAATGTTCATTAATATTAGTTTACAAAGTAATTGATCGAATATAAGGCAAAAATGTACACCTTTAACTTTTCATCAAACGATAACTTAGTTACAGAAGCAATAAGATCAGGCAGTCGTTCCGCTGGTAAAGAACTAACCATATTCTAAAAATCAAAATGAAAGAATTTAAGTTATATGCACTACAAATGTTAGTATTCAAAATGATAGATAAAACATCTACATACATTACAAACAAAGTATTCATCGTGAATTAATATTGAGATATACTCCGATAATATATTTATCAGATAGAATAATTTTACCTTTAATTTAGCAACAATGGGATAAGCCGTTCCCAATTGAGATAACATATCGATAAATTCTTTCGTGGAAGTGCGAAAGGAATCAATAACGTTAGCTAATTCTTGATCCATCTCTTGAGATCCACTGTCTATAATTTTACAGTTAACAAAATAGCGATAATCTGAAGTGCTGTAAAACTTTTGTTGTTTTCTTAAAGTTACAGCTAAGTAAGAAAGTGAAGTATGACGTAAAGTTCTAAAATATTTCAATTTTAATTATTTTAAAGACGACGGTATTTTGAAGTATCATACCTTTCACAAATGGAAGCCTATCTAACTGAGTGATTTTGCTAATGCAATACGGGTGCTCTTGTTCGATTGTATCTACTTTAAATCGACATAACCCAGTCAGCAATAAGGAATAGGATTGTTCGCCGTTCGATGAAACACCGGTTATCTGAACAACTAGCGCTGCTGTACCAGTTTGGGAGATTAATTCCTATCAATGGAAAATAAGTACAGTAGCTATCAAGGTATCTATGCAGCTACTATGTACTCCATATAATAATATTATCATCGAATTTTGATTTGTAATTTTTAAGCAGAACTATACTTAAAGTATAGTAGATCAGCTTTAGCAATCTGGTCTTTGATTTCATCGACTGACCTCATCCAATCTCTGCTTAGGTACAACACCAATAATGGTGCTTTGCAATGTTCGCCTTCTGAGAAGTCTACGACGAATTAAAGCAATCCTACAATAAATTAGCGGAAAACATCATTATTAGTTATATAATCAAATCGTAGCCGTTATATTTGGAATCAAATCGCTACTACTAATTGCCACGTTCATTAGTAAGTCAATGAGACAGCAGATATTTTAGATCAGTAGCATAGACGATACTACAGATATTAAAAGTGTAATCATTTATTCAGATTCTATAGCAAGCTGCCAAGCTGACAGAGTAAGATGGTAGATTACTATTCCGAAGATAAATTATTTTATTCAATTTAAATCTGCTCTGTTTAATGATTGAAGCAATGGTACATTCAACTTCTAACACGATACAATTAATCCAGCTTTGCGATCACGTATGAATCAGACGCCAAAATTCTTGACAATGTAAAATAACGCTAAATAATTTTAGATAGGAACATCGAATTGGATATACTGTAAACAACCATGGTAAATTACAAAGTACTTAGTGGAACAAGTATTACAAGTAAACTACAGTAGTCGGTATGGTAAATTGCAAATCTTTAAAATCAACGTAATAGGATTGATCCTAACTTGAAATAACCAATTTTAAGTCCCTAGTAAAAGGACGAACTAATAGAGACTAGACCAGTATCTAGTACTGTAGTCTATGCCAAAAGCAAGGCGATTAATTATTTAATTTTATTTTATTTTAGAACGAGTAATTAATACGGGATGTAATGTAGTCTCAATTTTATCCACTCGTATGATATTATGATACTGTGCCCTATATCATTCATGTTAGTCATCTTAACGTATTTATCAGGCCATTCTCGTGAATAATTGACGTTCTAATCTATGCAATCTACAGTACTGTACTATCGATAGTAATAAATCTTTCAGCATGCAAAGTAAATCCTGTAGTACAGCAGTAGTAATTCAACCAGTGTTTGTATACAGGTGATCACATATCATCCAAAACGATACAGTACGTAAAATAGTTGAACTAGAAATAACATTCACCCATGGGGCATAACAACATTCGGAAGACCTGCTTTAAATTAATTCATTCATTAAATTAATACTATAGTATGACGATAACTGAAGTACTTCGAGATGCATGCTGTATGTACTGTGTACGCTATAGTATCAGCTTGCGTTATTTGGCATAATCCTTCAGTATTCTACTGTATATATGAATGACGAGAACTATAGTGCCACCGATTGAATCGTTCATACAGTATCATGTAGCCATACTTGGTAATTTTTCTTACAGATAAAAGCCATACAACATACTCTATTAAATTTAGCGTTCACGGAAAATATACAGTCAGTACTTTTTTTATTGAACTGCATAGATAGGAGATGGACTGCACTTTATAGTTGATCAGTTTACCAGGTGTAATGGCAAACTTACGCTTAACTTCTGGAGCTGACTTGGCCAAGGACTGCAAAAATCTTTACCATTAGTACGAATGGTAAAAATTTTAGTAGTTCATGACTTAGCCAAGCTGATTGATGGTTACTTATTTCTATCACTCCGATCAGGGCTACTGTGCCATAATGTGCATAACATCAGGTCATGGCCTTTTGGATTGGTCATGCACCGTATGAATCGTTGCCAGAATACAGTAAGACTAAGACGTACCTACTGGGCACAGTCGTACCTTGTAGTATATCCTTCTCAGGATTTTACATCATATTTTAAGCATTAAAGAAGAAGTATTGGATTCAACTCTATACAATGTGAGATATAGTATGGCAATGGAATCTCTTAAGGAGCAATGTCCAGTTGATGCTTAGTTGATCTGGTCATGTTGGTAAAGTCGATCTCTGTTTACTCTATTTCACCTGGCCAATTTGAGTGAAAGCGTCCCATCCAATGATCAACTGTTCTTGTTATGAATGATCAAAGATGGTTATGGATTCATCTTTAAGTCCTATCAATTCATGAGACTTACCCCTTAGTATCTGTAATCGATACTCTAATGGATGATCCAGGCAGTAAAACTTCATCGGCCAATGTTAAGATTGCTAAATAACTAGGAAGCTCCAGTGAACCTTCAGCCATGTTCAATTTTTCCAGGTGATCAAAGTCTGTGATGTTAGTGACGTCCACTTGTCCGGTTGATACGTGCTGCGCATCATCTCATACGATTCATACAATTCATACCAATGGTGCGCAATACCAACTGATGCGCTGTCAGTGTCACCTCTTTTGACCTTTTCTTGGCCATCGAGCAGACAGACAGACAATACAGTCCTTCTCGACGTTGCGTACAGTACTCTACTGTACGTACTGTAAATTCTCTAGAATTTTCTCTGTGAATCAGCATACTGTACAGTACACTGTACAGTACAGTACTGTACTGTCTGTACAGAAGGACAGTACCGTACTGTAGGACAGTAGACAATCTACAGTACTGTACACTGTACATTGTACAGTATGGTGACTGCACTGTGGACTACAGCGCATACTCAGTGTACTGTACTTTGTACAGTACGTCTTAGTGCAGTACTGTACTGTACGTACAGTACAGTACTGTAAATTCTCTAGAATTTTCTCTGTGAATCAGCATACTGTACTCAGTGTACTGTCTATACAGAAGGACAGTACTATAGGACAGTAGACAATCTACAGTACTGTGCACTGTACACTGGACCTGTATGGTGACTGCACTGTGGACTACAGCGCATACTCAGTGTACTGTACTTTGTACGTCTTAGTGCAGTACTGTTCTATAGAAAATATTGGACGTCTCGCTACGCTTCTTTGCGATCCTTCCCTCCTCTGATTTCTTAAAATTCATTTTTAGCTCGTTTTTACTTTTAATAACGTAAGAAGGAGTTCAATAGCCCCTGACAGTGTACTGTACACTCAATGCAGAGGTCTGTACAACGTGTGTACTATTCTACTGTACTGGTTCTCGGGCGTAGCGAGCACAACTGGAGATTTAATGGAAAACCTGTAATTAGTAATTTGTATAGTACAGTACTGTGTACATTGTGCCAAAACCTAGAAGAATAGCATACTGTACAGTACTGTAGACCCTGTATTTCTGCAGTACTGTGCCATAGGAGAACGGCTTTATCTAAATCAGTAGGTCTGGTCGGGTCCGGCTGTTCCATCTTCTGTATGTACAGTACAGTACACAGTACTGTACTCTTAAGGGTCTCTACAGTACAGTACTGTACTGTACTGTACAGTACAGTGTACCGTACTGTACTCAGAGGGATAACAAAAACATGATTGAACAAGGATAAAAAATAAATTATTAATAATAAGTATAGTGAACACAGGAAATAGCTGTGTAGTATTAATTTAGATAGCACAACTTCAACAGTAATTTATCTTTCAGTAACGCGTTATAGAGAGAGGGATATATTTGCGTATACACGTTATACGTAAAACTTTAGCCTTCACTAATGAATCTACTGCTCTTCTACCATTAATAACCTACGGTATTACACCCACCGATCTCTACAAATGTCGCTTATTAATTGCACAATCCTGCGGATCGTAATTTAAATTTTATTTATTTACACTAAATGGATAAACTCAAGTACGCCTTTGCTAATATGTAACGAACTTGTACAGCGACAGAGAACCGATCGATAGTTTGCATTATGCATACAGAAGTATAGTACTGTACAGTATACAGTATTTCGATCGAAAATCAATTTTAAACTACTGTACAGTACAGCACCGCAACATGGGCAGACTATACCTTTAACGGCGTGCGGTCTACATACGCGCAGAACATGGATTAGGTAAAATCGTATTGCCTGTTGGTTGATTGTCCTTCAGTACTACGCAATATAAATTCAAGAAAGCTTGCAATGTCACAATAATTGAAGTTACTAGAGATCGAAACTGGCTGTACGCGTCTTACCAAGGTAGTCAAAATAGTACCGGGTTATCAACTTAAAGAGCACATTCAATTCAGTCCCCTGTGTTGAAGTTGGTGTTATCTTGTATGCGCATTATGATGTATTACAATACCTCTATTTTCATCTTATTTTGTAACGCATGATGTCATTATTAATTACATTTATACCAACACGACTAAGGACAATGCACTGAATAATATTCCTTAACACTACTTTAACGTGCATATACAAGACTAATTAATGTCGTTGCCTTGTTGCTGTATTGTTATAGCTATGTTACCATCGTTGTATTGCATTTGCATAATTTCTAGACATAATATAAATAAATAATTGATGACCTCCATACAGATGTTAAATACCATTCAATTTATTGTATTCCTTGTTTTTACTTTCGGAAAATACTGTAGTAGACAAATCGGTCGATTAGCAATGACCGACAAAATATACACAGTAGTACAGTATAATAATCCGTTAGAGTTTAGCAACATAGTATCTCGGTTTTCATATGTACAGATCAATTATGAGAGACTTTTGTAATAAGCAATAACATTACAGTACATCCAGTACCATTTATGATACAGTAATACAGTAAAAGTGCGCCTGTATTACTACTACGCTTAAAATATATATCTTAGCAAAGCTTTTATATTGTCTGAAGAAACAATATTTCATCAAGATTAAAGATAAATTGTGGAAACACAGAAGTGTAAATTTTACGTATTTCAGTTACAGTATTCTGTATCGTAATAAGAAATGTAGTGTTACTGTACACAGAAAACACAATAACGCTAGAGAATCAATCACATCGTATAGTAACAGAATATCGTTATACTGTATCCAGGTTATACAGCTAAGTACAGTGGCGACAAATAATTACTAATACATGATAGATTTCAACGTTCATAATAATTTTTAATTATAAATTTCAAACTTATCTAATCTAAGAACAGTAAAACTGTGAAGCCATGCTCACGATGAAAATGGCGCGCAGCTAACAGCTACAAGCACCTAATTCTATAATGTGCGACATTGTCACACACTTCAATATTTTTTACAAAATCTCCGAAGTAGTTCGAATTAAACCATGTACAGTTCCTAGCGCTATTTAAATTATGACTGTCTAGATGAAGACAGAGTAGTAAGTGCTAGCGCTGCGTCAAATTCACGATATTGAGATTCGGATTTCTCCTGTACTGCCTCTTCTTTTTCAGATTTCATTTCAACGCTAACAGAAACCTTTTCCTTTGGAGACTCGGGAGAAGCTGGTTCTACCTTAGTTTCTACGTTAATTTCAACTTCATTCTCCTTTAAATGGAATACACCATCTACATATTTCCTTAATGATTTAACCGGTGAATCCATATTAGTGTTGCTACTCGGTAAAGTAGTAGTAGTAGTACAAGGTACAGATGGTTTTGAGCAAGCTGTGATTGGTGACCAAATAGCTGGTTTCTCTTGTCTACGAGCAATTTCTTGCGCAAGTTTGAGTTCAGGACTATGACGACCACAATCCGATTTATCATCCATGACACTGCTTGCAGGAGAATCGGCACATGTACTCAGTCCATCTGATCTCGTATGATCATCATCGTCATCATCGTTAAGATCTTCATCTTGGCTATCGTCTTCAGAGTTCTTTCTGCCCTCACCAGTGCGATTTCTTGGTGACCAAGTCATTTTGTTTTCCTTTTTAAGGCGTCTACGAGCATTAGCAAACCATGTCGAAACTTGCGTTAATGTCATCTTTGTCATGATTGCCAACATAATTTTTTCTCCCTTGGTAGGGTAAGGATTTTTTCTGTGTTCATATAACCAAGCTTTAAGTATGCTGGTAGTTTCACGAGTAGCATTCTTACGTCTGGCATTATTTAAATCGATTGGGTTAAATCTGCAGGTAAAGAAGACGAGAATTGTTACAAATACATTTCACTATATCACCTTAAATAAGCTATAATATTCATTCGTTTTGCTATGTGACGATGTGCATTAACTCTATTCATCATTCAATACGTTACTAGGTTATTGCGTATGCAACTGTCTTAGTATAGGACACTGCAATATCTATGATTAATTCATTAGCATAAATAATAGACGAACCTAGAAATGCCATCTACATGACCAACTGGGTATTTACCAGCCTGAGACATGTACCATTGGTAGCAGGCATCAATGGATGAGTTACCACATTTCATATCTCCTTGTACAGGCGAATTCTAAATAGGTGGACGAATCAGTGAAAGATTTTATTAGTCAAATGAGGCAATTCGATTTTTTTTTTTTAATCATAGCATATGCACTGTGTACTCGCTGTCTGACTATCAAGGGTTAAGGCTGACTCAACCGACAGTGTGGACGGGACAACTGGACAGCCTTCCAGACAATTTTTAAAAACCAGACAAACTGAAGTAAAGTAGTAGACGGGTCGGCTAGCAAAGCGATCGCAACCTCTATACCAGTAGTAGTAAACGTAAGTACTGTATCCTACATGTTAGTCTTAGTCGAAGAATGAGATCACTCTTGTCAATCAAGCCAATCGATGAGTGTTTACGATACAATCTATTATACCGTAAATCGAATACTAGTACTCTGTAGTACTGTAATACTGTGTAATGTTATTTAACATACTGTAGAGTAGACAATGCCGGTTGTCGGGATATCAACTGCGCTTGCCCGTAGTAGCTAATTTGCATAATTTTACGACAGTTGATGTCGGGAATCAATGGTAAATAATATTTTTAATACACAAGCAAAAACTTTGATGATTTCCAACTACTAAACGTGATTTATACTCGTAGAAGTCGATAATTTCAAGGTTACAATAAAAAATTAGCCTACGTGGCTAATAAGCATAGCAATAGAGACTCACCATAGAAGGATAGATCATTGGCTTGTCGCTGTTGTTTGAAATTGCGCTAGGGAATCCATTGGCAGTGCATTGATGGGAATGCATCATTGATTGATATGGCGTAGGTGATAACTTCTGTTGCATGTAAAGTTTCTCCAATTGGCATTGGCAAACGTTGGTAGAGCCGGTCATTTGAGGCACGGAACTACAGAAGTGGTTTGGGCTATGAGTATGGCCATGCATTAAAACCTAAAATTGATCAAATTATCAATTAATCAGGTTGTAGTCGTAATCAGACATGTCCTGTCTGGAAATGCAGCACAGCCTGTCTGGAAATTTTGACTAAGTTCCTAAGCCTACTAGTACACGTAAAATGATTGCATTCGCTGTAGAAGAGATTAGCTACTAAACAGAATCATTCTTCATACTTACTTGTGGAGGAAATGAGCAAGCAAATTGAGAATAAGACATTTTGTAAACTGGTACGTTGGATAGTGTCTAGAAGAATTCAGTTGAGATTGATCCAAATCGAGTTGTATTGAGATAGGAGGAATTTCCGCAAATTTTTCCTTTCAAAGATGAATTTAACCCGGAAAATAGTAATAGCAAATCAATGTTTCGATTGCAATCACTAGTAAATCGTCAATTGATGAATTAACGGCAAGAAATGCAAGTAAAATTGTGCAAAATAACACAAACTGAGTCTACTAGAACGATAACAAATCGCTAGAGAGCGAGAGAGAAAGTAGATTGAAAGATGTTGCTCGATGATGCAAAGTCAAAGATTGTACAAATTTTGAAGATTGGTACATAACACACCGGGTATTTAAGCAACCATAGTTGTCTGGTAGAATTGTTCGTGACACATGTAGTTACATAACGTTTTCTGTTCAATCATCCAATCACAAAGCGAGTTGAAAATTGTGACATGATTTTAGGCTAAATGATTGGCTACTGCCGTATTACTCGCCGTGTATAATAGAATCAATCAAAATCATAACACGACATCCATGACAGCGCGTACGCCTAAATGGGTGCATTTCACTCTAGCAAGCTCCGCCTACATGGGTACACTTTTTATACGAATGGCTGTCTTGGCATAAAGAATTACGACAACATCTCCATTATTGTTTCATTGACAACAATCAACGCCTTATTTCCGACTAGATTTTATTTTCGGGTTATTAAATGATGGATGGTTCTACTCCCAACATCGACTACAGTTAGTCAGTGAATCGATGGTAGTAATAGTTGACAAATATGTTATTCATGATACTGAATGACGATGATCCAATCGTAGTTATGTAGAATGGAAAGAAGATGGAAGGATGAGAATCGATTGAAGATAGCGAAATTCATGTTGGAAAGTCGATACCAATCCAAATGGAGTCTACATACAGTATACTGTAGAGAGAGAGAGAGAGAGTCTGTACATCGTCCTGACTTGATGCAATGTCTACTAGTGCAATCCTTAATATTTCTATTTGTTGTCAAATGATAATTTGTCAGCATACACAAATACTATGTACATGTCATGCCTTAGTACCCATTGTTTTCCTAATTAACTACATGTACTTCGTATTCTGAATGGTCATCTACATGTTGCAAATTATGTAATGATCACCAGAGCGGTCATTGAAAAATAAGCCCTTACAATAGGTGCAACAATTACAACAACTGTTTACAAAAGTAGAGTAATGCTAATATAAATAATAGACATCGTCAATATCCGACTTTGGCATTTTTTTCAATGGAATGGTACAAATTCAATTTTATTTTCTAGACAGTAGGTCGATGTATGCAACCAGACGTGTGTTTCTAGTAGTGTTGTTTAAGATGGCGATTTGTGTCTGGATTGCATTTCGACATTGATGACTAGTAATACACTAATTATTTGCCTATTGATGCCTTGCTGCTTTTTTTCTCTTTCCCCCCCCCCCCCCCCCATTTGTAGCGCTACAGAAGATATGCAGTACAACACAGATGTTACCATAGTGCATCGGACTATAATGATACGCCAACATGACCAAAGTATCTAGCGCATTCCTTATGTCTATAATTATAATTGATAATACCTTTATATGAACAATCCAGTCAATGAATGATATGGAGATGATGATGTTGTCCCAAACTCCGAAACAGTCTCATCGATGTCATCATCTTTATGACCATCCTATTGGTTTTGTTACAGCCCTACAATATTGTGTTATTTCCATGATTAAAATCGATTTACAAGCGCAGTTGGAGACAGTATTTGACCTTAACTACAGTGAAACTATCAAATGAATGAGAACTACAAAATGATAATATAGTTAACTGATGCCCTTTCCTTTACTTTGATTACCGTTAATCTGCATGATTATTCGTTCTAAAGTACTTCGATCGATTTATAATAATCTAGAAAAATTGGATTATGCCACCCTGTCTGGCTAGTAGTCCGAAGCGTGGAACAAGCCTTACCGTAGTAAATTCATGGTATGGTAGGTGATGGTCGATAGTAGCATAGCGTCGAAATAGCTTGACGACTTCATCGTCCATTCGCATATATTAGATAATCCATCATATAGTACACGTGAGCTATTTGATTATTAAATGATGACTAATATGATAGCGCGCTGGCTATCGTCTCAATCAGCCACTGTGAGGGATTAGAATGAAATGGTTAATTTTTGTCAATGTGGCATGTACCAGTATTTTACAATGGACATGATACCGACATAGTTGTACCATCGAGCATAAATAGTCCTATAGTCATGGTTAACGCTAGCAAAGAACCCTAGCATGACTATATTAGATATTTAGGCTAAATGGGATAATGATGATATACAATGACACAATTTGTATTCTTGCTTCGTGACCGGCGTTGATATTCAAGCGATGAGTCATTCCTGATTGTAAGATGCCTTCATCAATAGTTAGTTATAAATCAATAGTAACAATCACAAAATACGACCATTACATTACACACGGCTTCTCAGTCAATATATGCTACTAGAAATTAGATTCTATTTCTGTAGAAATAACTGATTCAGTTCCCATTGATAATTAAAGAAGACATGGTGATTAGCCTCACTTTTGTAACTTTACAGAAAGTGTACTGTTTTACATTTTTTTCTCCCCTAGTTTGAACCGTATAAGAAAGGTTGCATTGAGTTCCTGGTATAGTTACAACCATTTAGCCAGTGGCAACCTCCCCAAATCGATCATGATTAATTTCCATAGGCTAATTATGATTTATCCCTCGTCATACATATTGTTTTTAAGTATACGTCTTATATATACCAATAAAATCGAATAAAATCGCCCTCATGGGAGGCCATCATGGCATAGTTATACGACGGTCACTATTTCTTGTAAGAGATGATTACATCCGGTATGTTAATAGGTAGATAAATACAAATACGATATAGAATAATATTAATATAGCTCTAGCTATATACAAGCATCTGACTCATTTGAGTAAATAATTAGCAAGATAATACAGTAATACATTAAAGGAGGATAGTAGGTTGGTATTAATATACCTAGTTAAATAAACAATGCCACAACATCAGCTAGCATCAATATGGAGTACTAAATTACTAATTCAATCATCTTGAACATAAGGAAGCCTACCCTAATTAAATTACCCCTCTAAATGAATACCATCTGATCTCAACGGGAACTGGGTGTAAAACACTTTCCTTTCAAGTCATACTAAATGCATACGTGATATTCTCGCACTTTGGCCAAATACTAGCATACGGCTCCACTCGCATTGCAATAGTTTTTTTTACAACTACACCCCTTATTACGCGCACTATACTCCTTCTAGGAAATTGTATTATATGATAAAACTGTACATATGTACAATATCATTAAATAAATTCGTAACCTTACAGGCTTTCCAATTTAATTATCTATTTTACTTATTATTTTATTTTATCCTTTTTAGTTTTATCTACTAGTAATAGACAATATAGAGACTTATTAATATGCACGGAGAAAAAATCAAGCCGTATTAAAAAATGCATTG